ACTTCCAAAAACATTCAGCTTTGATATTAATGAGTTTTTTGGGTTCATTGAGAACATGGTTGTTGTTCAATAATAACATTATTCCTCAAAAATACAACTTGCCTAATAATTCTGCACTCCCTATAGTACATAGATGAGCATATCTGTTTAAAGTGAGTGTTACATATTAAAGAAAAAACAAGGACCTACTGTTATTCAGACAAGTAAACTATTAAAAGTGACTAATAACCAAAATTTGTTCAGCACCAGCTGGAAGATTTTTATTGACTTCTAGTCGTGGTTGAAAAATAGTTCCCCTCGATGTCATTTAGTGTCCGTTAGACTTTAGTGGGAGAAAACTCGTTCATCCATCCTTCCATTTAATTTGTAAAACCTTTTATAGATTGAGTAATCCATCCATTCGTTCTCTTCTGCCTAATGATTTTCCCAAAAACTTAACCCTGTTGAAAATTTGTAGATTATGCTTTTAAAGCCAGGTCCATGCCAAGAAACCAACATATTTAAATGAACTCTGAATGCGGTTATTCCAGGTAAAGTGGTCAACCATAGTTATATTTGATATTTGAGTCTATGTACATACTTTTGACTCAATTGAGATTAGAAAAAGATCTAAATTAACTTCAAACATGTGCATTCAGTTCTTTTTTGTTTTCTTTTTAAGTTATTAAAGGTGTGTGCTGTACAGTCATTCTAGCCTAGAGAAAGAACAGTTCAAAGAAATCATTAAATGTGCATAATTACCATGACATCCATGTCCATGATGAGTATATTTAAATTACGGATATACCTCACGAGATCGTAATGCTATGCTTTGACTAGAAGTGCAGCCTTAATTGTGCAGCCCTTTATCTGTTGTGATGTGTTGTGCTCTCTTTAGATGTCTATAAAGCAGACTGCAGGAGGTGCAGGAGGAGGAGGACGTGCAGCAATCTGTCTCATATGTAAGGAGAGCTGCTCTGGTTTTCAGCCACATACTTGGAGGTACAGTTCCCCCCTTTTTTAATTCATTTTTTTTTCCTGTACAGGAAATGTAAAATTTTAGTGGTCTCACCACTGCTCCCTCACTACTTACACATTCATTCCTTTTGAAGAAAAATATTAAATATGTTTGTGACTGAACACCAGATGGGTGTAGGCTGTCAAACCACATGCCCAGACTCCCAAGTTTTCAGACTACATGGAAGAAATAACCAGGCAAGCTGGAAAAACACAAGTTAAATGTTCTTGTCTTGCATTCAAACGGCTTTTATTTGAGCAAGCCAAAGAGAGTAATATTTGGCCAAAAAACAAAACAAAAACGTAAAATGACAAGAACGGATTTAAATCGTCGCTTATCCTTTTTGGTGTTTCTTCTATCCAGAAAAGCCTGCACAGTGTGTGGCTGCAGCACGGTCGACCACGCTCCTGGAAATGACCTTGAAGACGACCAGCGAATAGGACGCCTGCTCGCAGACTCGCCCTGCTCCCATTTGACAGCGAAGATTAAAGGAGGTGGTGGCCTTCGCATGTACAAGAGAAACCGAATGATTGTCACCAATCCGGTGGTGTCACGCAAAGACCCGACCTTCAACACCACCACATATGACTGGGCTCCTGCCGGCCTCAACCAGAAACTGGTAGGATTCACTGTGGAGTGCAGGAGACTGCTGCTGATTCTCTTTTTCTTTCATTCTTTCTTTTAAAAATAGTGGATGGATTTTGGATACCACAGGATATTTTTCAGATAGATACATTAAAATAACCTGACAGGACCAAAACCACAAACACGGTAAAGAGCTCCATTTTAGCGATATTATTTAGCTCAGCTGTTGCATACAGCTATTGCTTCCAGCTACCTGTTCAAGCACAGCTCTGGAATAAATGGACAATGCAAATAGCCAAAGAAATACCCCATCAAACAGCTGTAGTAGTAATATGAACAAACCTGAAACTGGGAACGGAGACATGGAAACACCACAGATGAAATGTAGGGGATGAAGAACGGGAAGATGTACAGATGAACCAGCAAAGAACAAGGAAGACGCAGAGCTTAAATACACAAGTAGGACAATGAGAGGATCGGGAACACAGCTGGGACGAATCTGACATAATAGGACACAGAGAAGCAAAACTCATAATAATAATGTGTATGTCCCCATAGGGACTAATTACTCCTATGGGCTGCCCCATTCACCCAGTGGGCAGCCACGAGTGCCTAGGGAGCAGTGTGTAGGGACGGTACCTTGTTCAGGGGTACTTCAGGGTAGCCGTTCAGTGGATTTGAGTCCCCGACCTTCTAATCATGGGGCAACCACTTTACCTACTGAGCCATCCATGCCACTCAACACACTGAACGGGATTATCACAATAAAACAGGAAGCACAAGACATTGATGGTGATGCAGATTAGATACTGAGACATGGAAACACGAGGCAAGGTGCAGAAACAGAACAGAACCCTAGAAACCAGGAACAATGGATATAATACGACAGAAAACCATAATTCAAAGAGTAAAACTTAAATTAAAAACACAAACACTGGGTCACCAATCCAGGACCCTGAAAACTCAAGAAAAATTCATGCATGAAATTACATTTTATTTTCATCATCAAGTTAACAACTCAAACTTCTTCCTTTATTTATTCACTCAGGACACTTTAGTTCAGATTTACCTCAGTTGGTGCTGCTCTTCCTGTATGAAGAATATGAACTGTCCCATTAAAACCAGACTCAAGTATGTTTCAGGCTTCCCAGCCTATAATTATGAAGATGACAGACGTTACTGCGGTTGAACTTGTAGAGGCAGATCCAAATCCAACTGGGGGACTGTTTTCCAGATGTGCCTCTAAAAACCTTGAACATCTCGTTTGGTTCATCCCTCACTTTTTGTTTGTTTGTGTTTTCCAACCCACTACCACACTTTTAGTCACTGCTTCACTCTGGTGAAGTAATCTGACAACCCACAGATGTGTCAGTGACGACATCGGGAGAGTCCGATGACGGCTTAAAATGTGTTAGATAAGCTCAGGTTTCAGCAGTGGGAAAAGATCGAGAGATTGAATTTGTGAAAACTGCATCATCTGTTGAAGGCCATGCAGTACATGGAGCTCCTCCCAGAGAGTCAGAGGCCAGTCTCAGGGACTGTTGGAGCGCTGGAGCGACGCAGGCAGCTCCTCATCCAGCTCCCCGCCTACGATCAGGACCCCATGAAGTGTCAGAGCCTGGCCAGTGAGGAGGAGGTAAATTACTCTGCCGTGACCAGTTCAACACACATGATTATCAATAACCTGAGCAGTATGTAATCATTCCACCTATAATCAAAAGATTAAAAGTTGGCTAATCACTTTCATGATGGAGTCATTCTTCCTGCAGATTTCCTCCATGCTGCTGTTTGTGAAGCAGTACAAACAGGAAGTGCTGGGAGTAGGAGAGGTGGCCTTACCCGGTGAGGGTGAAGCTTTGAGGGAAGCAGCCATTCAGAGGACAGCAAAGGAGGTGAAGGAACACAGCAGCAGCAATAAGAAGGATGCTCCTCAGCATCAGGATCACGGTTCATCTAACAGCAGTGTCGCCTCCCCCACAAATGGGACAGAATACAACAACAAGACTGAATATGTAAGTGGGTGTATGACCCTGGATGCTTTAATCACCAGCTGTTACCAGCTGCAGATCTGTCAATACGAAGGAAAAGAGAGAAAGCTTCGATTAATGATTAGGGTTTTTTTTGTTTCATGATACAACCTTTTAATTGTACATAGGAAATCGAATTCACATCAAACCAATCAAATACAGTCACAACAACAGTAAGAGCAGAAAGTGTTACTGAGCTCACAGACAGACTCTGCACAACAGCCTGCTGAAGTCTCCTTATCCAACTTCTCAGGTCTTATTTCACGATCAGTACCGCTAACATGCTGTCTGCTCATGACATGTAGGGCAAGTTTGTTTGCTTTGTTTCAGTGTGGTGTAACAACAGCACAGGGGCATCACGCCCCCTTTCAATCAAACACTAACTTCACCGTGTTCCTCCAGCCAGCTCTTCTTTCTTGTAACAACAAGAAACTGCAAAATTGGATGACTAAATGTGGTTTTAGTTCGACTTGAAACACTTAATGTTGCCAATGCTGCCCAATTATGCCTATTTTTGGGACTCTTTGGTCGACTATTGCTCCCTTTATTTCACTAAAGAAAGATTTGTAGTCTTGTTTGCAATACTGGTCCTAATTAAAACCTGTTTCTGTGTTTCTACTGAAAATATTTCTATTTTTCTATCAAATTTCAGTGAGAACAGAACAGCATGCTTGTTTTTTACTTTCACGTGTTGCAACGGCACAATCGTGCCAAAGTTGCATCTACCATGTGTGCTCAAAGAACTGAGATCAGATGTATATTTACCTGTTCTACCTGGGGAAGTCATGTGATTGGTTGATTAGTGAGGTGGAGATTTATGTCATCTTTTAAACTGATCGGGATCCAGAAATCCTTCTAGATTCCCTGTGGAGGGAATTTTCTGTTTTGATTTAAACCAAAGTTCTTGTGGATCAGGAGACTCTACATTTGTTTCACTAATTTCGTACTTGACCTCTCACACAGTTTTCTGTCCTCTAGCATTGCACCGGCTGCCAAGGTGAAGTTACAAAGGACAGTCCTGCAGTATATGCAGAGCGTGCAGGTTACCACGCTGCCCTGTGGCATCCCAAGTGCTTTGTATGTTCAGAGTGCGGCCAGATGTTGGCTGACCTGGTCTACTTCTGGTCCAATCAGAAGCTGTTCTGCGGACGACACTATTGTCAGACACAGTGGCCACGGTGCTCGGGCTGCGACGAGGTGAGGCTTCACTCCCTGTAGTTATTGCTGACCAGTAAGTGTTGGTGATCTGTTTGCAGTCTGAACTTCATGAAATCAGAAAATCTGAAACAAAACAATACCATATATTACTGTTAAGTCATCACATAGCAATAATTTAGTTTATCACACACTGTAAATAAGGTGTTCACGTGAGAGGAACTACCATAAAATACTAACTGCTGTCACATTTAAACCTCTTTAACTTTGATTTTTGCTTGAGCATGCACTTTATAATCCCTCTTTCTGACTCTGAGAATGAACCAAATTTACAAAATGACTTTATTTTTTTATTCAGTATGACCTAAAGTGAGTTACTGAGCCCACTAGCACATTAGAAGGACTTTCACAGAGGTCAGGACAAAGGCTGTTTTCCTCACAGGTTTCTATCGTACGAGAAGTCTTTTTACAAACACCCCCTGGTGGCCATTACACAGAATGCAAGCTCCACATTGGCTTTTTCGCTAAGTCCATCTTTTATTATGCCTTTGCATTTGAGTATGAAAAGACAGCTCTATGTGGCAGTGTCATCCATCCACAACCACTGCAAACACTTTCCTGATGGACTGAAGTGCTACTTTAAACTATCATAAAACGTGCATGATATTAATTTAGTAAAGTATGCCGGGCCATTTGTTTAAAATGGTGATGATAAGGAGAATAAAGTAAGACAGGCTTGAGGGCCAGCCTCCCTTGTGACCTGCTAGATGCTAATGCATGAGTCTGCAGCATCTTTTGGGGGGGGTTTCAGTCATGTCATCCGTTTCAAAAAGGTTAGATGTCAACAGTCACAACAGAAACCTAGACTTTAAAAACAATGGGTGATGTCATAGTTTCAAAATGCATCTTTTTTCAGACAGCCTGTATACTTGTATACAGTTCTTCTGTTTTGTTAATAATAAAAATATGTTTTAGCTCCTTTTTTATTACATTTATTACAAATTATTTAAATGGTAAATAACAATAAAAGGCCCTGTTATAGGTTATAGTAGATAATAATACAAAGCTTTAAAGTATTTTCGTATATACATAGCTTATTCTTATGTGGATTTAATAATGAACTAAAAGTTTTAAACCCATATGAGAATAAATGACTGCATAAAAATGGAAATGAGTCTACCAACTCTACGCAACACCACAGATATAATTTGTTTTATCAGAATAATATTTTTGTTTTTATTTTTTGTGTCCTCTCTCACATCATTCTCATCCCCCCTCCTGTTCCGTTTCTCCAGCTGATTTTCTGCCAGTCTTTTCTCACGGCGAAGGACGGACAAGCATGGCATCCTCATCATTACTGCTGCTGGAAATGCGGGCAAACCCTGGATACACCCTGTCAGCACTGAGTCACCATGTGTAGGATTCACTACAAAATGTGGTGTTCAATTTTAAGTTAAAAATAAATAAATAAATCAACAAATCTAAAACCAAATCAATAAAATTAGTGCATCTGTTTTCATATAAAAGAAAAAAATGGTATAGTTTAAATACGCACTGGGGCTAAAAGTCTTTAAGTCATATGTTCACTTGATAGTTTAGCAAATCTTCTTTCCTACAAAAACACAGCAGCAGATTTACTATAGTTTGAAATACTTCAGGTGATATTGATGTGAACTGACTTATTCAGATTACTGGTATTCCAAAATTTTAAGGAGTTGTTTGGTTTATACAAAAGTGCTTTAAGTACTTCAGCAAACATTTTGTTGATGTATTGGCACTTATAGCACTGACAGTAACAGGAAACAGATGTTCTGCATTTAGCCTGCAACCTTACAAAAACCCAGAGCTGAATTTCAGCTAAAAAATGAAGAAACTACCCAGTAACTGAAGAATGTTGAAGTTAACATGAGTAAGTAAATAACTAAATAAAATGCCACCTTGTCCTGTTTGAGAAAACTTTGTATTCTCACTCATTTTCATGAGAGACTTGTTGGTGTGTTTTTTGCAGATTTGAGTCATGTGTCTTTAGTTAAACTTCATCTGGTGAGGTCAGTAATTATTTTAAATTGTCTCAAGAAATCATGGATGTTGATTCCTCTGGATTTTTTTTTCTTAGCACAAACTGTTCTCCTCTGGGTGAAATATTCATAATTTCAAAATATGTGCTTGTGTTGAAAAATATTTTTTTGTGTTTTGTGTTGTTGACCTTGTAATTCAGCCGGGGTAAGACTGCTGCAGTCATTAAACTATTGGAGCGTTAAAACAGGGTCAAGGGGCAGAACAGTGTGTGAAAACAGTGTGAAGCAGCCCTACTCGACACTGTTGTAGTTTGTTTTTTGAAGGTTTACACTGAAAAATTATTTTGTTATAAAGTCATTTCTGCCTGTGTTCGAACCCCTTAAAGTTTTATTTTCTCAGAAAAAACGAGTCTGCACCTTTGTGCAAAAAGGATATTTGTTTTTCATACGAAGTAACAAGGAACTGTGTTTTTTTTGTTTTTTTTTAATATATTCTACTTTAACAGTCATCTTTAAATGTGTTGATGCATGCTCAATCAGCCAGGTAAATAAATCCCAGAAGGTTGTTTCTGTTCATCTGGATGTAGCGTTTTCAGTTGGAGAAACTGAAAACGCACTTAGAAGAAGTCACTTGGATGAGTGACAAAATGTTTCTCCCACTGAAGTCCAGATGAACAGAATCAGCCTTTCGGGAGTCAGCTTAAACTTCCTAAACTGACAGTAATTTATAGAAAACTTGGCAGTTGAATGAAAAAAAAAGATCAGTTGAAATAATTTGATCTTAACTTTATCTTAATACCAAATTAACAAAGGGTTATCTAACTTACTAACTTATCTAACTAGGTCAGGTTTTAACTTTACCTGTTAGTTTTGGACTGAAGCCTTGTAAAAACTGGACAGGCATAAGGCTGGAAAGAGGTAGCACTGATTAATACAATAAAATGTAAAAAAAAACCACCACCAAAAAACCGGTTGGTTTTAAAAAAATAATCTACAGCAGATTTTAGTTAAATAAGTTTTTCATAATCACGATTTTAGTATTGATTTAAATATCTGCTAATACTATATATGTAATGTTTTTGTTATTTTTATTCTTTCTCCATGTTGTGTTAAATGTGTTTGATTTCAAGAAACTGCAGACTCAATAATCATTTAACCTCTTATAAATTTAAGTTTCTGCTGCTGCTAAATGCTGCTTTATGCTGTTCCTAATAATTAGTCCCTCTTTTTCGTATATATTTTGAAAACTTTATAAATGTAAACATTTTTTGTGACAATTTTAGTTTAAACTGAGAGGACACTACTGGAGGTCAATAAAGCTGCAAAGTTAGTTGGCCATGTGTTAAATTCAGCAACTGCATTTTAAGTCCATTCAAGGTTAAAAACAATGAGCGGGAAATAGGATTTTGTGACATTAAAGTCAGAAATATATCAGAAAAATCTCTCTGACATACAGTAGTTTACAGATAAAACCCAAATCCTAAATTTCTCTTTTTTGGGATTTGTTTTTCTCTTTTCATGTAGGCTACAACCAGCTAGCAGAGTAGCACTAGCTAACATTTTGCCTTTATGTATTTTATCATTTAACTGCTAGCAGTATTGCTTGAGTTGATGTAGCATATAAATAATAGACAGTACTGTCAATACTAAATACCAATTCCACTCACTGATTCCAATAGTAGTAGCAGTAGTAGTAGTAGTAGTACTATTGTAATAGCTAATGTGTTTAGCCTAGCATGGTGCAAAAACTGGAAGCTGAGGGAAGCTGTTGGCCCAACTCGGTTAGTCATTACACCTCTGAATTTTGCAGAAAAATAAGATGTTAATCTTTCTCTGGATAAATGAGCAACAAATATTTATATATAAAAAAATTATGCTTTATCAAGTAAATAAAGTTATAAAGATATGATGAAAAAGTGAAAGCCCACTATGTTTAATGCTGTTTTCAGTTAAATAAAATAAATGAATAAGTGTCCTGTTGTGTATTGTGGTTATTAAATTTCAAAAGCAGTATGCTTCTTCCCAGCAGTTGGATTTAAAAAATGAAGCATATTCTATCACTCCCCTGAACAACAATGGGATGACCTTCTGACCGTTGGACTTAAACATTTGGTTTTTATGGTGCACCCATGTTGCTTAATTCTGGTTGAGTAACACGAAATAAAACTGGCTGGGAGTATGAGCTTGATGCTCAAGCAAACCTGATTTCAGTTAAGTGGACTAAAACAAGTCAACAGGCTGGTCCAAACCGGTTTCACCTGAGAAACATGGAACACTTTGTCAGCCTTCATGTTGCGAGGAATGGTTAATAGGACAGATACTGGGTTATGAATGGATTGGATTTCAAAGGGGCCAAGGAACCAGGGAGCTAGTTTCTTAGACTCACCCTAACCCTTTACCTGGAGGAGAGCCAAACTTTTTGTCTGCTTTGGTAGGCCGCCGCCGACACACAACGGTGATCGTCCAGCCACTTATTTCGCTCCATGGTCTCGAGGAGAACTGCCCTTGCGGTCCGCTACAACCAGCAGGAGCGGTGTGCATAGTACTGAATGGAAGGCACAGCCAACTAACCCTCCATGATGGAGTTATGGCTGTATTCGACCCATGCCAGCTGATCACTTCACATGGACTAGTTAGAGAAGGCAACACAACGAAGGACGGCTTCCAGCTCCTGATTTGCCCTCTCCACTTGGCTGTTAGTCTGGGGGTGGAAATCAGAGGACAAACTGATTTGGCCCCTCAGTTCAGAACAAAACTCCTTCCACAACTGGAAAGTGAATTGTAGACCCCTGTCCGAGACGATGTCCTGAGGAACACCATGCAGTTGGAAAAGATGTTGGATGAGTTGTTTGGCGGTTCCCAAGGCAGTAGGCAATCCAGGCAATGCCACAAAATGGGCGGCCTTGGAAAACCAGTCGATTATAGTGAGGATGGTGGTGTTACCAACATGACTTTTAGTTCCGTTACCACCTGGAGGAGTACACTCTACTCTTTGGTGATGTGTTGTAACATCTTTCCATGGCGTTCCACTAAGTTCACCTGTAGCGATATCTCATGGGCTCGAGGTCCATCACTGGCTGGATAGTTCTGTCAGGTTTTAGGTAAGGAAGAGACCCAAACACAGGACACAGCAATCTCCAAACTCCAATTCCAAACTGTGGCTCCACTCCCGTGAAACACACTCCACTCCCAATTCCTAGTAAAGGCAAACACAACGAGTTAGTTAGGCAATCCTTTCCAAAGCAAGATTTTTCAACAATAATCCACTGACGAGGTAAACTCAACAATCCCACGTTACTTGTAACGCGTTACTGTAATCCGATTACTTTTTTCAAGTAACAAGTAAAGTAAGGGATTACTATTGCAAAAACAGTAATTAGATTACCGTTACTTTACCGTTACATTACCGCATCTTTCTTGCCCAGGACACTGTTGTAAATAGATTTCTTTTCTCAGGAGTCTTTTTTCCCCCTGGCTGAATAAAGGTTAGATGCATGTTTACACAGATAATTTGTTAAAAGCATCTTATTCTTCATTGACTGGCAGTGACTGCTTGTTACAACAGCAAATATTTAATATTCTTCATTGTACTAAAACTATATTTTAATCTATGACACACAGACATTGATTAATCATCAAAAATTAAACATAACAAATGAAAATTTCACAAGAACAAATCAGGTAGTTTTCTCAAATAAACCAGCTGCAGGCAGAAAAATTAGAATCACTGAGGATTACAAAACTCCACTAATATGTGTGTGTGTGTCTGTGTGTGTGCTGACCTACTACCTGCAGGAATGTGAGGTATTCCTGTGGTTTCTGGACTGACGTTCCCGGGCAGTTACATCACCCAGCTGACCGTCTGACAGCTGCTTCCTGAACCATGAAAGAAAAAACAGATTGGGATATTTTTAGCCCCAAAGTGAGACAATTTATTTGATCTGCAGAGTTTTATGGCCTTTAATAGTGTGCATTGTAAGCAGGGAGAAAAGCTCATCTTTGTGTAATATCAGCCTCTGATTACACAGATTATACAACATGATTATCCCTAATATGGCTGAAAATCAGTTTGTTGAGCATTGAAAGCTTCCTTGAGTTTGTTAGGAATGTAAAAGTTGTTCATTCAGAAGGTTGATGATCTTTTCACACTCACAGTAACCAACAAACTTAAATGACTGACTGAAAGTGCTGGTGTTTGTGTGCTGATTGGTTCAAAGATAGTTAATGCAAGTTAAGTGTTTCTTAATACAAAGTTAAAATGATGATAATAACTGGCTTGAAGACTCTGCGGCTCAGAAGTCGATGTCATCACCACAGCAGGTCTTTTTATTGTAAATAATCACAAGTTTATAACTTTTCCCCTCTTTTCCAGCTATTTTCACATTTCAAACAATATTACAGACTACTTCCTGCTTTATTATAATTCATTATTATTAGCAACTGTCATACTGTTAAAACCCTCTTATTTAGATCCTAAGTATATTCTTTCCTTTTATTATAAAGTGCTTTTCAGTGTATAATTTAGCAAATGCACGAAGACTGGCAGCCTTTAAATTAGGTTTTTGGCCAAAAAAAAAAACAAAACGGCAAAAGTTCAAGGCCCCTTGGATGATCAAAAGAAGAAAGAAGGAGAACGTTTTCTAGCATTTACACACAAGCAGTGACAGATATGTTGCTAAATCTTGACATTGTGTTTTTCCACTTGAGCTCCAATCAGTTCAGACCACTATTTAAATCTTTTTTCAGCTGCTGCTTTCTCACCACAGCAGGATCATCAGCACATTTGGTTGGTCACAGATTTTTAGCCAATGACCTTTCTTATGCAACCCTCCGAGGCTTTTTGTCTCCTCCCAGTCTGAAACTGGGGATCTGCCAGCCCTCCGAGCCACAAAACACTGGACAGAAATCAACTGAAACATTCATTTGAAGAAAATAAATATATAAATTGCTTTAACTTCGACAGAAATTCTGGAGCATCAGTGCTGTTCTCTAAGAGCTGCCTGTAGATGTTGGCGCCCTCTTGTGGACGTGCTCGCACACATCACACATCCTCTGTTTCTGACGGCACCTGAATGCAGCACAGCATTTTTCTTCTGCAGTATCCCTTTAAGTGCGGATGAAAGGCTGTTATGTAATTTAGGTGAAAGAGGAGGAAGAGCAGCGGACTGAATGGAGGACAGCCGGCACTGACAGCTCGAAGAGGACCCTGACAGGTAGGGCGCCGCTGACCCTGCAGGTGTAGATAAACCGCTATAGTGCTCAGCCTGAGGTGTCCGCGTTATGTCCGATGTGACGTTTTCAGCAGGTTAAAAGGACACGAGTTTTTAATGTAACCTTTGCATCTGCTGTTCTACCATCAAACCCTCAGTGAACAAAATATTCAAAAAGAGAAGTTTGTCTCTTTAAGCCTGTGACCGTTACGGTTAAAGGAAACTTCCGCATTTTTTTCTCAATGTAAACTTGTTTTACTCATTTTCCGGTTCTAACCTTTAAAAAAACTCCTAACAAATGCACTTTTTTACTTGGTCTGATTTCTACATCAAAGCAAACCTCCAAATCCCGATTACTGTGTATTACTATGGTATATTACGAGTAGAAGTAGTTTATTTTTTAAGCACATTCCCCCTACAGGTGCTTTCTCCGGAAACTGTGAACTTTGCAGCTGCTTCAAAGGTTCAGTGTCTTTCTGGGTTGGGCTTGCAGCGCTGGACGTTGTTCAGTGGGTTAAGTAATCCTGTTGTATCCTGTTGATTTTGTGGCACTTGCATTAATTGCGATTTCATGTCAAAATCATAGACTGTATATGAAAGATGGAAGTAATACCTCGACGTTAACTATTAACAACTGCTGTGTCAATTTGCTGTTACCATAAGTTGCCATATTTGACCCATCAAGCCTGGTTCAATGCTGCATTTATGACATATTGTGTGGAAGCCACGGACGCAGGTGCCTGATAATTAGA